GAATTTAATAATATATGCATAATTTTTTATTATTAAAAGTAGTACAAATTGAATAAGATATATATATATAAACTTTGTTGGTAGATATATAATTGAAGCTAAATAATTAACATAATGGGTGTTAGCTCAAGTGGTTCATGAGCTCTTTTTATGCCCCATTGGTCCTGGGTTCGAATCCCCTTCTTAGCACATTTTTTCAACTATTCCACATAAGCGCCACGTGGCATTACAACNNAAAAAAAAAAAAATAGGCGAATTTCCACGTAGCTCAGCCGGTCATAGTGACCTGATATAGGCGGTCAGAGGACCAAAAAACTAATTTTTTTTTCAGTTAGGGGACTATTTCCAAAAACAGTCCACTTACGGGATCAAATTGAAAACGACCTGCAGATAAAGGACCAAAAAACATTTTTTTTCCTGACTTAAACTGTTGTATGTTACTACAGTGAGACCTAAATTGCTTGCTACTTCATATTCTGATAGGAACAAATTGGCCAATAAAGTTTATTACCTTGATATTTAGCAAATACAACTCTTCTGATCATCATTTCTTCCCATGTACCTGCAGTAGCATGCAAGTAATGCCTTTTGATTTTGACTGTGTATATTTGAATTACCGCTATATGAAAGTAAAAAGTAGTTGTATCTTTGAGGTGTTTGTCGTTAACAGTGGGTATTTCAGGAGACAATTTCGTCTTAAAGAAGAAAACATAACTATCACGTGCCTCAAACTTTGATTGTTTGTTTTCGTTTTCTTCATTCTCCTTACGCAATCTTCTTGATATTCATGCAAGACCAAACTCACACAACATCATTTTACAGTTTTACTTTTACACCTCAATTTTTAGTTCGAAATGGCAACTAATCCGTAAGCCGCTTTGTAGGAAAATCATTGGCGCCCGATACTACATCAAAGGCTATGAAAGACAGTACGGCCCGTTGAACCGAACACTGGACAACCTCTCTCCACGTGACGTGGACGGCCATGGGACCCACACGGCATCCATCACCGCCGGCCGGGAAGTCGGTGGTGTTTCATCCCTTGGTGGCTTCGCCTCTGGCACCGCCTCCGGCGGGGCTCCACTGGCCCGCTTAGCCATCTACAAGGTGTGTTGGGTCATACCGTTAGATGATGGGGACGTGAGGGACAGCACGTGTTTCGACGAGGACGTGCTTGCCGCCGTGGACGACGCGATTCGCGACGGGGTCCACGTGCTGAGCGTCTCGATCGGCTCATCCCACCCAATAACCAACGACGGTCTGGCGATTGGGGCTTTACATGCAGTCAAGAGGGAAATCATAGTGGCCAGTAGTGCCGGGAATTCGGGGCCCGCGAAAGGCACGGTGTTTAACGAGGCTCCTTGGATGGTCACGGTCGGAGCCAGCAGCATCGACAGGGTGTTTCCCTCGCCTGTCCTGCTCGGAAACGGCCAAACTATCCCGGTAACTTGTCATGTTTCAGTTTTTTAGTTCGTTTTGACATGAAAATGTAGGTAATTGTTTAGATATAAATCTTGTTTGAATATATCCAAACACAACACAAATCTAACTCGAATTTAACTTTAGACAACCCTCTTCAATATTATAAAAAATTTTAATTAGTGTTAATTAACCATCCTCACACATCATATCAACTTTAGTTCATTATTCATACAATCACATAATTTTAGCTAATCATCTGTTCTTCACTCATACTTTTACATCAAATCAACTTTTATTATTTTATTTTAAATATTGTAATATAAACTCAAAATCTTACTCAAACCTAATTCAACCAATTTTTTTGAAATTAACTCTGCCCAACAAAAAAATAAATAAATAAAACAATCACAACTCAATCTAGCACTAGAAGCTTTCGTTGTCCGGTTATTCGTTGCGTTTTTTTTTTCGGCAGGGACAAACGGCGACCCCGTATAAGTTGGAGAACAACAAGCAGTATCCATTGGTTTTTTCGGGTCAAGTAACCAAGACCGGAGTAGACAAAGACGTAATCGGGTCAAGTCTTGTTCTTAATAACAAAAAAACTGTTGGTTTGATTAAAATGAGCTGCAATATTTGTCTGTTTGTTCTATAGGCAGTGCTTACCGGGTTCCCTTTCTCCGAAAAAGACCGAGGGCAAAATAGTACTTTGTTTCTCGGGAAATGGAAGCCGAGCAGGCAAAGGCGCAGAGGTGAAGAGAGCCAGAGGAGCAGGCTTCATCTTAGCAGATAGTGAAACGTATGGTAGTTTGTTTCTAGCCGAGGCATACCTTCTTCCCGCCACTAGCGTCACTTATAAAGACGCTCTCAAAATCTACGGATACATTCAATCCACAAAGAATCCAACGGCAAGCATCGTGCCAGCTAAGACGGAATTTCCCGCCAAACCAGCTCCTTTCATGGCTGCTTTCACCAGTAGAGGTCCCAACCCAATTTTATCCTATATTCTGAAGGTACGATAAAAAATCCACATACGTGATATTGCACACAATGAGTCTAGAGATGGATGATTGAACATACGTACATTTTTTCTGTTTTTGTTTTTTCTTTTATTTTGGTGCAAATACACAGCCAGATATCACGGCTCCAGGGCTTAACATATTGGCAGCATGGAGTGAAGTTTCCGGCCCTACATATTTTGTCGACGATCATCGTTTCGTAAAGTAC